CTACTAGTAGTGGTGGTAGTAGTAGTCGTAGTAGTAGTAGTAGTAGTAGTAGTAGTAGTAGTGGTCGTAGTAGTAATAGTAGTAGTAGAAGTCGTAGTAGTAGTAGTAGTAGCAGTACAAGTAGTAGTAGTAAGTAGTAGTAGTCGTAGTAGTAGTCGTAGTCGTAGTAGTGGTTGGTTGCATCAGCAGCAGAACTGGTATTAATCGAAGTCGTAGAAGTAAGCGTAGTAGCAGTAATAATCTAAGTAGTAGTATTATAGTAATAGTACGCAGTGCATACGGACACAATATTCGTACCAATCGTGATTTTCAGTAATGGCAATACGAATAATATATAACAGAAAACAGTGGTGGTGGTAACCGTAGTAGTAGTAGTAGTAGTAGTAGTAGTAGTAGTCGTAGTAGTAGTAGTAGTAGTAGTAGTAGTAGTAGTAGTCGTAGTAGTAGTAGTAGTAGTAGTAGTAGTAGTAGTAGTAGTAGTAGTAGTAGTAGTAGTAGTAGTAGTTAGTGTAGTAGTAGTAGTAGTAGTAGTAGTAGTAGTAGTAGTAGTAGTAGTAGTAGTAGTAGTAGTAGTAGTAGTAGTAGTAGCAACCGTAATACTAGTAGTAGTGGTGGTCGTAGTAGCGCTTGATGTTGCAATCCACATACTCGTACTCGTACTCGTACTACTGGTCGTGGTCGCCGTCGCCTTCGTCGTCATCGTCATCGTCACATGAGTCGGGGCCACTGCAGTAGTCTCAGCCAGCCCCCGCGCCGCGCAAGGGAAGCCCCGCCTCCTCCACGGCGCAGCCCTCCCGCAGGGCCCCCGTCGGAGCTGCTCGCGCTCTGTCGCTCGAGGCCTTCCCTCCAGTGTTCGACGCCTGCTCTGCAGAAAGCGCCCCGCCCCGCCTCCAACACTCAAAGCTCCAACCTCCTCCTCCTCTTGCTCCTCCTCTCCGTTCTTCTCCACCTCCTGTTCCTACACCTACATCTCTTCCTCCACCTCCTGCTGCTCCGCCCCCACCTCTCCGTCCACCTCCTGTTCCACCTCCACCTCCTGCTCCGCATACACTGCTCCTCCTGCTTCCTCCTCCACCTTCTGCATCTCATCCGCCTCCTTTCCCTCTTCCTCCATCCCCGCAGCTGCACATCCCGCTCCTCCTATCCATTGTATTATCTCTCCCTATGTCTCTCTGTCTCTCCCTCTCGCCCTCCCTCCTCCTCTTCCTCCATCCTTGTTCCTTATCAACAACTCCTCCCTGTCGTTCCCTGGAACCGGTTGGTAGCGCACGCCGGGCGTTCCGGGTGAGGCTTTCCCACCGTGCATGGTCCCGAAACTTAAATTCAGCAACAATTTCACTGATGGAGGTCGGGTGGTTTCAAAATGTGGCTCTCGTCCAAGTTCCGCGCACATTCGCCTTCTAAGTCTGCAAGAGTCTCACCAAATGGAGGCCGAGCCATTTTCAAGATGTGGCTCTCGCCTTAGCGCCGCGCACAGTCGCACTAATTGTTGCAAGGGCTTCACGGATGGAGGATGAATGGTCTTTAACATGCGGCTCTCGGTTGGCGCCGCGCATATTCGTCGTAGACGAGCGCCAGTGTTTCACGGGTGAAGGGTGGTTCGCTTTCAAAATGTAGCTCTCGTCCTAGCGCCGCGCACAATTGTCTGAACTGTTTACAGCAAGTTCAAATGTTCTTATGCGTGTCTTCACAAAAAAATGTTCTCTGGCACGATTCAGGATTGTAAGGGCGCGGCAGTCACGTTGATTTGAGATGTTGAAGTCCCAAGAAAGGCGTCCTGGGATCATTCAGCATCGCCAGCACGCAACAGTGAGGGGGACTCACGGCGTTGAAGTCCCACGTATGGTGCTTTGGCATGGTTGTGGATGTTCTGATGGCTGTCTTCCGACGGACCACTTCCCGCAGTGAAAATAAGTCCCTGCAGGGACCTGTAACGAGGGAAGGGGCTTATCGCAGCATCGTTGGCGAGTCTTGGGTTCAGACTGGTCCTCCTTCTCCTCCTCCGCCTGCTTCCTGTTTCATGTCGGCTATAGTGCTCGTCCTCCTCCTCCTCCGCCTCCTCCTGCTCCTCCCCACCCATCCCCCCACGAAGAGACGAGGGATGGCCCAGCCACCTCCGCGGGGCGCGCGGGCGGGGAAGCCGCCTCCTCGCCCTTGCCCACCCTCAGGACCCACTTTCCCCTGTGCGACCTCGGGCGCTCGAAGGGACGACGACGCTGAGGAGCGGAGCGGACGAGGCCCGCGACACGTGCGCGGACAAGGGTGGGCCGGGGAGCGCTCTGAGAGCCGAGGGGCGTGCCATGAGATCTTGTAGATTCCATGGCGCCGGCGCCTCGCGGTCTGACAAAAAGGCCGCGGAACGCCAGGGAACCGCCGAGGAGGCGAGAAGGAGGGGGGGGGGGCCCGAGGGACGACGACGTTGAGCTCGAAGGGGCCCAAGCAGGAGGCTCCCTCCTGCTCAGAAGCCATGCGCCTCACGACCGTGGAAGGTTTATAAGGCAAGCTGAGGCCCGGGACTGCCTGGCACCAAGTTGGGTCCACGGGCAGTGCGGTGCCACACGCGACGGACTCGGTTCGCACTGGAGGCTGCAGAACCTCCTGCTGGTGTGCGCTGCCGTCCAAGTGCAGCGCAGCACCGTGCAGTGGATTGGCCGATGTGCGTGCGCGTGTGTCTCATGTGCTTCACTGTTCTGGGTATCGCTGGTTTACTGGATGTGATATGGCTTGCGCTGTCTCTCTGTGGATTGCGCGAACTTGATCAGATTTGGCGGTGCGTTGCTTTGTTGGTGTTGCACCGCGTGTTTGAGGTTTGTCAACTGCGCGACGCTGTGCTGCTTGGCATGGCTTCTGTTCGTGCCAAATTGAGTTGCTGTGAGACCAACTTCGTCGGTTTCCCCATATCCTACGATGGGGTTATTGTTTTTACTTGGACGGAGCCCGCTCCAACCAGAACCCCTCCTCTCCTCCCTCCTCCTCCTTCCTCTCTTCCTCCTCACTCCCTCATGCACAGATTTACTCTTACTCAGACTCAGTTATACTCAGACCTAGTCATACTCAGACTTAATCATACTCAGACTTTCTCATGACCAGATTCACTTACACTCAGACCAAATCATACCCAGACTTACTCAAACTCAGTCTCGCTATCCTAAGATGAGGTTATTGTTATTACTTGGACGCCTCCTATTCCTCTTCTCGTCCCCTCCTCTTCTCGTCTCATTCTACTCGGACTCACTCATACTCAGACTTACTCATACCCAGACCTACTCAAAACACAGACTTTCTCATACACAGACTTACTCATACTCAGACTTACTGATACCCAGGCGTACTCATACACATACTTACTCATACTCAGACCTACGCATAGTCAGACCTTCTCTTAGTCTGACTCAATCAACACACCTCAGATTTGGAGGATGTCTCAGGCGGGGCGCTGGTTTCAGCACCCCTAAAGGGAGCCGCCAGGGGTGTTTGCACGGGCCCGTTCGCGGCCATTTTGTAGGGAAGCCTCAAGCGGTTTGCCTGTTTTCATGCTCAACATCCTTCGCTTGGAGAGCAGAGTCTGAGGATGTCTCAGGCGGGGCGCTGGTTTCAGCACTCCTAAGGGGAGCCGCCAGGGGTGTTTGCACTGACCCGTTCGCGGCCAGTTTGTGGGGATGTCTCAGGCGGTTTGCTTGTTTTCATGCTCGACATCTTCTGCTTTCAGAACAGATTGTGAGGATGTCTCGGGCGGGGCGCTGGTTTCAGCACCCCTAAGAGGAGCCACCAGGGGTGTGTTCACGGGCCCGTTCGCTGCCATGTTGTGGGGATGTCTCAGGCGGTTTGCTCGTTTTCATGCTCAACATCCTTGGTTTTCACATGAGGTTTTGGAGATTTCTCAGGCGGGACGCTGGTTTCAGCACCCCTCAGGGGAGCCGCCAGGGGTGTTTTCACGGGCCCGTTCGCCGCCAGTTTGTGGGGAAGCCTCAAGCGGTTTGCCTGTTTTGGTGGGCAGACCCGTTTGCGTTTAGAGCAGTTTGTGAGGATGTCTCAGGCGGGGCGCTGGTTTCAGCACCCTTGAGGGGAGCCGCCAGGGGTGTTTTCACGGGCCCGTTCGCGGCCAGTTCCTGGGGATCTCTCAAGCGGTTTGGCTGTTTGGGTGGGCAGACTCGTTTGCGTTTATAGCAGTTTGTGAGGATGTCTCAGGCGGGGCGCTGGTTTCAGCACCTTCGCTGAGGGCATACTCAAAGACCCCCGCTTCATGTCACGCTTGCCAGCTGTCCTCTGCACGACTGAAACTGAGACTGATGTGGTCCAAACCTGAATCGGCAATAACCCATAACACGATCAACGCAGCAACAAGACTGACAACACCGACATTGATAAAACAACTCTACACAGCAACCGCGACATCAACAACCATGTCGTACGCGCAAACATGGTAGGGTATCAGGCGACACGTGCTGTGGTACGTGTAACGTGTAAGTACAGATGCGCAAATCGGGACTCATCCGTCCTGCCCTCCGGTCCGTTTCATAACGCGGTTTTGTCACACACACACACACACCTCAAACAGAACGCGTCTCGTGGACGCTTGCCTTGGGACAGCAGTTGAATTCGTGGAACCTCGGGGGCGCGCAAACATGGATTAGCGATCCATGGATTTAGCGCGCTGTCGCCAAATCCATGGATCGGGGAAGGTGCCCTCCCCAAAATGCGGCCGGTGCCGCCTCGCTCGGCGGCGGAAATCCGCGATTTCCCATGGAAGCGGGACCCGTCGCTAATCCACGCCCCCATTGATCCATGCTTGCGATTACCTGCAAAAAAACATTCGGCATGCGTCCTGAACAGCGCACCCCCCCAATTGGGGGGGGCTCGGACCAGGGCCCCCCCCCTTTCCGAGGGACGAGGGGCTCGAACAGCCCCCCACCGAGTTGCCAAGGGGGGGGGCTCGAACCAGGGAAGGGGAGGAGCCCTGCCCCAAACGGGGACGTTGGAACCGCGTGCCCTCCCCTCCCCCCTCGAGTTGCAAGGAGGTGGTGGGGGAGGGTTCGAGCCAGAAGACGGGCCCCTCCCCCGCGCCCCCCTAGAATAGAACCCTGCTGAAACTCGACCCTCTTCGATCGGAAGCCTATCATATTTGGATCCATGCGTAATCGAACCCAAGAATATCTAGGTGGGAGCAACTCCGATTGAGTCCAGCTGAACAAAAAAATTGACCCAGGTCGAAGAGGACCCCACTATTGCTGGATCCAAATTACTACCATCCTGGTCGAGCTCGATCCTGCTCGATGAAACACATGCTATAGCTGGATCCTGTTAGCAGTGAATCCGACTAGGCCCGATACAACTTTCATTGGATCCGACATGGCTGCGTCGAACTGGAATAACGTCCTATCCTGGCCGGATTCAACTTTCATAGTCCTACGCAAGCGGAATCCAGCTGCGATCGAGTCCTACCACAGCTCGAACCAGCTCCACTAGAGTCCTACTATAGCAAGATTCAGCCCCAGTCGAATCCTACTAGTGCTCGGTCCAATTCTTTTTGAATCTCACCAAAATTCCCTCCAACCTTAATGGCAGCCGGCCAAGGATCCATCGTCAACATCGTCGTCGCCGTCGTCATCGTCGTCGGCGTCGGCGTTGTCGTCGCCGGCGCCGTTGTCGTCGCCGTCGTCGTCGTCATCGCTGTCTTCGTCGTCGTCCTACTAAGGCTTAATCCAATCCTGATAGAATCCTAGTGCAGCTGGACCCAACGATACTAGCATTCTGGTCGAGCTTGACCCTGGTCTGAAAAAATACGGTGAGAGCTGGATCCAACTCCAATCGGATCATGCTACGGTTCGGTCGAAACATGCCTGAACCTTAATATAGTTAGGTCAAAGTTTGAGAGCATCCTCATCGGACCCCGTCGAGCTCCAAAATAATCATACGAAAGCTATACGCGGATCCTACTACAACTCGGTCCAGCGTTAATAGGGTCCTAGTGTAGCAGGATCCAGCTCGAATTGAATCCTGCTGGTGCTCGGCTCAGCAGCCATGGAAACTCACCAGGGCTCGATCCAGCACTAGCAAAGGCAAACTAAGGATCGATCGTCGTCGTCGTCGTCGACATCTTCGTCGTCGTCCTACTAAGGCTCGATGCAGCGAGATACAAAAAAACACTACAGCTGGCAACGTCTACTATCATCTTGGTCGGGCTCGATCTCAATCCTAGTGCAATCCCCATGTAGCTGGATCCAGCTCCAGTTGAATCAGACATAGGTTCGGTCCACCCATACTTGATTGCTACTACAACTGGACCCGACGTCAATAGCATCCGAATCGGACCCGGTCCAACTCTCATAAAAAATCGTGAGATTGCTCAGCCTGAATATTACTATAGCTCGATCCAAGGATAATGGAATATTACTTTTTCAGGATCGAGCCTTCATTGAATCCTGCTCGGGCTCGGCGCAGTTGTAAAAGTATCTTACCATGGCCCGATCCAGCCATGAAAGCAGCAGCAAGCTAAGGCTCGACCCACCTCGAATAGAGTCTGGATCCAATATGTACTAGCATGCTGGTGGGGCTCGGTCCTGATCTCGTAGAACACTTACTATAGCTGGATTAAGCTCCACATGATTCGCACTAAGGCTCGATCCAACTCCAACTGGGTTCCTGCTACAGCTGAACCGAACTATTATAACATCCTGATCGGGCCCGATCTAGTTCTATTAGACACCCACTATGGCTAAATCCAGCTATAGGCTACAGTTGATGCCTGCTACAGCTCGATCCAGCTCTCATAGAATCTTAACAAGGCAAGATCCAACTCTAATTGACTACTGATAGCGCTCGATCGGAAGTCAGGCGGGTTGGATTGGACGGGCGGGCCATCAAATACATGGTGGTCGCTTGCTCGCGAGCGAGCGAGCCGGGCGAGTCAGGCCGGGAAGGCGGGAAATGGAATGCATGGAGCTGGCTTGCTCGCTCGCCATCTCGCTCGAGCACGCGAGCAGGCGAGGAAGGATAGGGCCCTCTCGCGCGGCCGCTCGCTGAAACAAATGAGGGCCGGCTCGAGCGGGCGGGACATCAAGTGCATGGTGCTCGCTTGCTCGTTCGCTCGCGGAGTCGAGCAAGCGCGCGAGTCGGGCGTGTCGTGTCGGTCGGCCAGAACATCAGATGTATGGTGCTCGCGTGTTCACTCGCTCGCACGAGCAAACGAGCGAGCGAGCGAGAGAAGGATGGGGTCGGTCCATCCGCACGCTTGCTCGCACGTGACGACACACGTGACCCGACTGGGGCTCGATCCAGCTCAGAGAGAATCTTCCGCAGGCTCGATGCAGTCTTAAAAGCAAAATCCTACGGATCGAACGTCGTCGTCGACGTCGTCATCGGCGTCCGCGTCGGCGTCACCGTCACAGTTTTTGTTGTCGTCGTCATCGTCGTTGTCGTAGTCGTCGTGGTCGTCGTTTCGGTCGTCGTAACCGTCGTCGTCGTCGTCGTCGTCGTCGTCGTCGGCGACTTCGTCGTCGTCGGCATCGTTATGATCACCGTCGTCGAGATCATCGTCGTCGTCGTAATTGTCGTCGTTCTCGTCGTCATTGTCGTCGTTCTCGGCATCGTGGCCGCCGTCGTCGTCGTCGTCGTCCCCGTCGTCCTCGTCGTCGTCGTCGTCGCCGTCGTCGTCATCGGCGTCGACACCTTCGTCGTCGCTGCACGACGGCGCCGGCGCCAGCGCCGGCGCTCGCCATCGTCGGTTGCAGGGCAGGGGGGGCCTGATTCGAGCACCCCCCCTTGCATTTCAGGGATGGGGGACCTTCCCCTCAGGTTTGACGGTTCGAACCCTCACCCTCTCAATTCAGGAGGGGGCCCTCCAGTTCGACCCCCCCTTTCCAAGCGTCCACAAATCGCGCTCTTTTATACCTCCCGGCATCGTGTCAACAATCTGGTTGGAGCTTGGAGTCTACTCTCGATATCCATCTATCACCATCGGCATCATCAATATCTTCTTCTTCCGCATCCCCACATGTTTCCTTCCCTCCCACCCGGATTCTAGCGTCCCTGATCTAGTACCTCTTCGCCCTCCGTTCCAATCTCCTCGCATCCTCCTACGCATTCCCTTCCGTCCGTACTTCAGCCTCCCCTTGCCCATGCGTCTCCCCACGAACGACCCCCCCCTCTTGCCCCTGCTGCCCCTTCTCGCTCTGGCCCCCTCCCTCGCATCGCTCCCCATCCCCTGCGCCCGTTTTCCTCGCCAGGTGGCATGAGATACGAGCGCAAGGGACGAAAACGGCACATTCTGACGTGAATAGGAAACCATGCCCTCACAAAAACACACACATACACACAATTAGACACAAACGCACAGACACACAGACAGACACACACACACACATACACCTCACGGACATACAAACACACACTACGCATACACCCACACGCACAACACATAACACACAACACACACAACACAACACAACACAACACATCACACACAATACACAACACACAACACACACACACACACACTACACACAACACTCGACACATAACACACACAACACATCACACACAACGCACAGCACAACACTTACACACAACACACAAACACACTACACACAACCTACAACAACACGCACTCACAACACGCACTCACACGAACACACGCACAAACACACACACACAAACACACACACACACACACACATCACACACACACACACACGCACGCCGCTGCCCGCATCATTTTCCCCCCCGCCGCCCTCGTTCGTGGGGCCGGGGACGTCTTCTTCACCACGTGCGTGCACGAGATGGGCACGCGGCCGACGGAGCCGGCGGAGGTGCAGATGAGGACCTGCAAGCTGGATGTGGTTTGCAAAAGGTGGAGTTTGCAAAAGGCGTGGGGTCCGAAGAATGTGCTTTGCAAACGGTGGTGTTTGCAACCGGCACCCTGGGGGCACCCTGGGGGCGGGCGGGGACCTCGATCGAGTATTCTGCCGCGCCACGAGGAGGCCCGACGAGGACGGCGCCGTGCCCCCCGGGCCCCAACAGCGCCGATCGCAAGCCACACCCCGGCGCAACCGCACCCTGTGCAGTCGCCGAAGGGGCGACCCTCGGCCACGGACGCGCTCCCCGACCCTGATCTCAGGAACGGCCCCGAAACCAGGGCCCCTCCCGAGCCCAGGGTTGCCGATCTTCCAGCTTCTCGACTGAACAGGGGAGGGGGTGCAGGGAAGACGTGAGGAATGGGGGGAAAAGCGGGAGAATGGAGGGGAGCGGGCTCTGCTGCGATGCCATCCGCGTGGCCACTCCCGCAATCGGCAAGTCCCCTCGCTGCTCGCTCCGCAAAAGCTGAGAGCAACACTGCTTACGTGCCACAAAACTCTCGGGGCACTCCAAGAGTGCCAAACAAATTCGACGACATGCGAGGCGCCTCCGCAAAAAAGTGCGAAGAAGTACGAGGGGAGCAGCAGAAAGACAGCTGCAGCCACAAGCTAATGCACCTTCCGTCGGGGATTCCAGCCCGCCACAAAACCAAACTACAAACTCCGCCGCCTGCTCACAGGACCCACACACTCGTCACCATATCAGGTTTTGACTATTCTTGAATATCCCTCCTGCAGGGGGACATGCCCGACTTCAGTGTAGCCGAAATGTTCGATCCTCGCTGTTGTTCGCGACGCGATCCTGTCTGGGACAGCGGCAGCAGCGGAGCCCAGCCGCAGAGACGAGGGCCCCCCCTGCTCGAGGCCCCCGACACAGCGCGGCGGCAGGCCGGAGTTCCACCCTCGAGCCCCGAGGGCTTCGATCCTCGACGCAGGCCGAAGCTCGATCCTCGATCCTCGCATGCTCGGCCCTCGATGCTCCCACCGACGACGCGAGCACGTCTGGGATGCCGGCAGGAGCGGGCGACGCCCTGCCCCGTGCGGGAGGGGCTGGCCTCCCCCAGGCGCCGCCGCAGCTCCTCCTCGGCGGCCTCCCACGCGGCGTCGGCCTGCTGGTAGGCCTCGAGCTCGCGCCTGGGCCACTCGTGCTTCTCCTTCCTCCTCCTCCTCCTCCTCCTCCTCCTCCTAAACCCTTCGCCTCGGCCTTGGTGGTTGAGCGAGGGCAATTCGGGGCTCCCACCCACCACTGGGGGGGAACTACGTGATCCGCTGCTGTCTGCGATGCTGCTTGTTCGGGTCTGCACCCAAGCTTCGACCCGATGGCGACCCGCGCACGGCCCAAGCCCTTATATCAGCATGCGGACGTTCCTCCTCCCCCTCCCACCTCCTCGCCTCCACCCTCCCTCCCCCCTCCCTCCTCCTCCTCCTCCTCCTCCTCCTCCTCCTCCCTTTCCTCCATCCTTCCTCCTACCTCCCCCCCTACTCCTCCCTTATCCCCCTCCCTCAGGCTAGCACTTGGGTGCCGCATCGTATGCTGAACGCTCCTCCCGGTCCCTTTCCGCCCTCCCTCGCATGCGGATGTCATTCCAGGGGCGAGCCCTCGGGAAACCCTGCCAGCGAGGCCTCAGCAAGACTCGTCGCGAACATCTGCGAAGGATCGATGCTGGTCTCTGCTTGAGGCCTCATCGTTGTTGGAGCGACGAGCTAGAGGCCCAGCACCGCCTCATTCATGCAGATTCTAGCTTCTCGCACTCACCGTTTCCATCTCCCCTCGCCACTAATCCTCCGCCCCCTCCCGCCCCCTCGTTGGCCAAAGCAAGAAGGGACAGAGGCGACGGGCCAGGCAGCAGCAGCGGCAGCAGCAGCAGCAGGGATGGAGATGTCCTCAGTCCTCGGCACCAGCCCCGGGAAGCAGAGCCCGCCCCCTGTGGAAGCCTCCCTCCCTTCCTCCTCCACTCCCTCCCCGGCTCGCCGTGCGGCCGAGGCGGCCGCCCGCGCACTCCCGACTTTCCTTGTCGGGAGCCTCTCCCCACCAGCCCTCGGGGGACGAGGGCTGCCCTGCTCGATGCCGCGGACAAGGAAGGCCTCGCGCTCCTGGCATCGCCGGGTCGTCCTCGCTCTTCCTGCCCACTCCTGGCCATCGCTCGGACGTCAATTTCCCGCGCATTTGTCGGTGTCGTGCGTGTTTTTTTTGCTCGATGGTCCAGGATGGTCCTCGAGGGCCCTCGCCGAGAAGAAATGCACGGTCGGGAACTCGTGGTCCGCGACTTTCGCGGAGGCGGCCCCCGGCGGTGCGCTGTGCCGTGCAGGCGGCGAGCGTGCCGCTCTGTTATCCGTGGGGTGGGGGCCTGGAAGAGGCGCGGGGAGCCGACGCTCAGAAAGGGAATGCGGATCGTGCGTCGCCTCGAGAAGAAACCGTCCACCAAAAAACCAAAAAAGAACCGCCCACGAGAAACCCAACCCTGAGACCCCAGGGCGTCCGCTGATTCTTGGCGTGGGAACGTCACGTATTCCATAGCATTCCATTGCTTCCAGGGCACCCTGGAGGCAAGCAGGGTGTTTCTTGTCATGGGCCTCCACTGTAGCGCGTCGCGCAGAAGCGTGGTGGGCCATGCCCCGCGGCGAAACACGCTGGGCCAGCGCTCCTGACAGTGAGAGCTCGTTGCCACGTCATTCGAGGACGGCGTCGCCAACGACGACGGGGACGGTGCCACCGCCGCCTATCCGACGGCGACGCCACCGCCGGCGGCCACGCCGTCGTCGTCGTCGCCGTCGCCGTCGTCGTCGTAGTCTTGGTCGTCGTGGTCGTCGTCGTCGTCGTCTTCGTGGTGGTCGTGGTCGTGGTCATCGTGATCGTGGTCGTCGGCGTCGTCGTGGTCGCCGCAGTCGTCGTGGTCGTCGTCGTCGTGGTGGTCGTGGTCATAGCAATCGTTGTCGTCGTTGTCGTCGTCGCCGTTGTCGTCATTGTCGTTGAAGACGTCGTCGCAGACGTCGTCGCCATCATCGTCGTCGTTGTAGAAGTGGTCGTCGTGGTCGTGGTCGTGGTCGTCGTCGTCACCGTCTTCGCCGTGGTCGTCGTCGCCGTGGCCGTCGTGGTTGTCGTCTTCGTGCTCTTCGTCGTTGTCGTCATTATGGTCGTGGTTGCCGTCGTGGTCGTCGTGGTCGTCGTCGTGATTGCCGTCTTTGTCGTCGTCGTCGTGGTAGTGGTCGTGGTCGTGGTGGTCGTCGTGGTCGCGGTCGTGGTCGTCGTCGTCGTCGTCGACGCCGCCGTCGTCTTCGTCGTCGTCGTCATCGTCGTCGTCGTCGTGGTCGTCGTCGTAGTCGTTGTCATCGTGGTGGTCGTCAACGCCGTTGTGGTCGTCGTCGCCGTCGCCGTCGTCGTGGTCGTCGCCGTCGAAGTCGTCGCCGTCATCGTCGTCGTCGTCGTGGTCGTGGTCGCGGTCGTCGTCGTCAGCGTCGTCGTCGTCGTGGTCGTCGTCGTCGTCGTTGTCGTGGTCATGGTCGTGGTCGTGGTCGTGGTCGTCACCGTTGCCGTCGACGTCGTCGTCGTCGTCATGGTCGTGGTTGCCGTCGTGGTCGTGGTGGTCGTCGTCATGATTGCCGTCGTCGTCGCCGTCGCCGTCGCCACCGTCGTCGTCGCCGTCGCCGTCGTGGTCGTGGTCGTCGTCGTCGAGGTCGAGGTCGTCGTCGTCGTTGTCATCGTCGTCGTCGTCGTTGTCGTAGTCGTAGTCGTGGTCGTGATCGTCGTCGTCGTCGTATTCGTAATCGGCGTAGTCGTCGTGGTCGTCGTGGTCGTCATGGTCGTGGAGGTCAAGGTGGTCGTCGTGGTCGTGGTCGCAGTTGTGGTCGTCGCCGTGGTGGTCGTGGTCGTCGTCGTCGTCTACGTCGTGGTCGTAGTCGTCGTGGTGGTCGTCGTCGCGGTCGAGGTCGTCGTCGCCGTTGCCGTCGTCGTATTCGTCTTGGTCGTGGTCGTCGTCGTCTTGGTCGCGGTCGTCGTGGTCGTCGTCGTCTTCGCCGTCGGCAACGCCGGGTCGTCGTCGTCATCGTCGTCGTCGTGGTCGTCGACTTCTTAGTCATCGTCGTCGTCGTCTTAGTGGTCGTCGTCGTCGTAGTCGTCGTCGTGGTCGTGGTCGTGGTCGTGATCGTCGTCGGCGCCGTCGTCGTCGTTGCCGTAGTGGTCGTCGTGGTTGTCGCCTTCGTCGTCGTGGTCGTCGTCGTCGTCATCGTCGTGGTCGACGTCGTCATCGTCGCCGTCGTCGGCGTGGTCGTCCACGTCGTCGTAATCGTGGTTGGCGTGGTCGTCGTGGCCGTGGTCGTCGTCGTCGTCGCTGTCGTCGTCGTCGTCGCCGTCGTCGCCGTCGTGGTCGACTTCGTCGTCGTCGTCGTCGTGGTCGTATTCGTCGTCGTCGTCGTTGTCGTCGTCGACGTCGTCGTCGTGCTCGTGGTCATAGTGGTCGGTGTGTCGTGGTCGTGTTCGTGTTCGTGGTCGTCGGCGTCGTCGTCGTCTTCGCGGTCGTCGTCGTCGTCGTCGCCGTCGTCGCCGTGGTGGTCGGGGTTGTCATCGTCGTCGCCCGCGTCGTCGTCGCCGCCGTCGTCGTCGTTATCGTCGTCGTCGCTATCGTCGTCGTCATCGTCGTCGTGGTCGTCGTCGTCGTGGTCGCTGTGTCGTCGTTATCGTGGTCGTCGTGGTCGTGGTCGTGGTCGTCGTGGTCGTCGTCGTCGTCGTGGTCGTCGACGTCGTGGCCGTGGTCGTGGTCGGCGTCATCGTCGTCGCCGTCGCCATCGTGGTCGTCGTCGTCGTGGTCTTCATCCTCGTGGTCGTCGTCGTCGTCGTCATCGTCGTCATCATCGTCGTGGTCGGCGTCGTCGTCGTAACTGTCTTTGTCGTGGTCGTCGTTGTCGTCGTGGTCGTCGTGGTCGTTGTGGTCGTCTTCGTCGTGGTCGGGGTTGTCGTCGTCGTCGTGGTCGTCGTCGCCGCCGTCGTCGCCGTCGTCATTCACTTAGTGGGCCCCGGAAACGGCAGGCCGTTTTTTACCAATTCCGTTTTTCCGTTTTTCTGCCAATTCCGACGCCGTTTTTCTACGGGTTCCGTCGCCAATTTTTGACCGGTTCCGGCTCCGGTTCCAATCCTGGACCGTTTTTTCCAGTCGCCGTTTTTGTTGCTGTTTCAACTTTGGGAAACGGTAAAAAAACGGCCCTGCCGTTTCCGGGGCCCACAAAGGTCATTCATCGTCGACGTCGTCCTCGTGGTCGTTGTCGTCGTCGTCGCCGTGGTCGTGAGCGTTGTCGTCGTCTTCATCGTGGTCGTGGTGGTCGTCGTCGTGGTCGTGTCGTCGTCGTCGCCATCGTGGTCGTCGTCATTGTCGTTGTAGTCGTGGTCGTTGTGGTCGACGTTATCGTCGTCGTGGTTGTGGTGGTCGTCGTCGTGATCGCAGCAAGCGTCGCCGTCGTCGTCGTCGGCGTCGTCTTCATGGTCGTCGTGGTCGTCTTCTTCGTGGTCATCGTCGTCGCGGTCGTGGTCGTGGTTGTCGTCGTCGTCGCTGTCGTCATCGCCATCGTTGTCGTGGTCGTCGTAGTTGTGGTCGTCGTGGTCGTCGCGGTCGTCGTCATCGTCGTCGTAGTCATCGTCGTCGTTGTGTCGTCGACGTCGTCGTGGTCGTCGTCTTCGTTTGAGTGGTCGTCGTCGTGCCGCCTTTTTCGTCGTCGTCGTGGCAGTCGAGATCGTGGTCATGGTCTTCATCGTCGTGGTCGTCGTCGCCGTCGTTGCCGTTGTCGTCGTCGTGGTCGTCGTGGTTGTGGTCGTGGTCATGGTCGTCATCGTCGTCGTCGTCGTGGTCGTGGTCGTCGTCATCGTCGCCGTCGTCGTGGTCGTCGTCCACGTGGTCGTAATCGTGGTCGTCGTCGTTGTCGTCGTCGTCGTGGTCGTCGTCGTCGTCGTAGTCGTCGTCGTCGGCGACGTCGTCGTGGTCGTTGTCGTAGTCGTCGTCGTCGCGGTCGTGGTCGTCGTCGTCGTGATCGTGATTGTCATCATTGTCGTCGTCGTCGCCGTCCTCCGCATCGTCGTAGTCGTTGTCGTCGTCGACGTCGTGCTCGTCGTCGTCGTGGTCGTCGTGGTCGTGGTCGTCGACGTCGTCGTCGTCACGGTCGT